TCAATCCAATCCCTATTTTGATAACAGCAGCGTTAGATGTTTTATTAACATGTTTTATACTGAAGAACTTTTTTTAATGAATGAATGTCTTACATTTATATTTTGAACCTACAGTAATTCGTGATGATAACAATTGTAATATTAGAAAACGGTATGTAATATTTTTATTTATGATAATACAATTTCATAATATTTATAATAAATCGTCATTAAAAAATTGAAATTCTCTTTCTACAATTGCTACAGGATCAAATTCCATATTACCACTTCTTTGTGTTATACGAGATAATTCTTCAGCATTACTTTGTCTACCAAAATTTGCATGTGAAAAATCGACTATTAGGCCGATTTCAAGTTTGTTATTATTTGACTAAGCAGATTCCAAAACATCTTCATCTTGTTCCAGTTCTATACTATTATTTTCCATATCAGCATAAGTAGTTAAATCTAATATACTATCACGTAGTTTACCTTCAGACAACTCTTTCCTATAATAATGAAGCTCATTTTTAAAGTTAGAAATATAAAATGAATGAATTTGAGCCATACTTTCGATTTTTTCTGGAGACAAACATGTTCTATAGGTGCCGTATAACTATCTTAAAATAGAAAAATTACGTTCGCAACTTGCTTGCGATGGTACAACTACAAAAATAGCTTTCGCAAGATTCTGGAGATAGGAGTAATCATCCTTTATTACACCCCACCATAAACTGGGTGTTTTAGATGAATCGTAGCCAAAGTCGAATGAGTAATCCCTGCTTTTATAATTAATTAATTGTGTAGTAAGTATTCCACATGCAACATCATCATTGTGCATACTTTTATAGAATTTGGCGGCTATTTCACAAATTCGTCGGAACATTCCTTTATGTAGGCCAAGACCTATATTAAATTAAAAATATATGTAAATGAATTGATACTATAAATAAATAAATAAAATATTATCACTATCTAATAAAGTTCACTCAGATTTTTTAATTGGTATCGTATACCTTTTTTTATTTATAGATTGATTATTTAAAGTAGATGATTACTGAAATACAAGATACATGGCTTTGCTACACATATCTTGATATAAAGTTAATCTATGCCATAATAGCCAATAAAAAATCTGAAATTAAACTGTTTCAAGATATATAGATAAAGAATTTTCTATAAAACTAGTTTTAAACTTAAAAGATAGTACAGTACTTCTATAACCCGGATGAAGAAGATAGGCAAGCAGATACAGTTCAATTTCATATTTAGCATAACATTTATTAAATATTTTGATAGCTGATTCACGAAAAGCATTATTCGAAGGAATTCTGTTAATAGCCACAGCTATCTTTACTATACTAACAAAGCAATTAGCAAAATTTGCAGTACGTGCTTCCAGATTATGTATTGCTTCTTTGATAGGTTGGATTATAGATGCAATTCGACAACAATTTGTATAAAATATATCGTCATCATCATTTAATAGCGAAATAATGGCTTGTTGACTAATTACATCACGATTTTCATCTAAAA